ACGGTGAGCACATCTGCCATTTCATTATTTCCTGCAGTTCTGGAGGCAAAATAGCTGATGATTACTACTTGAGGACAAGTTATTAGACCCCTTTTTTTTTGCCCAAGGATCAATACTTTCTTTCTGGGTCTGTGTGGTGGCATCAGTGACTGACCTGGAGGCAGCAATGAATGTGCACGATGGTTGTACCTGAAAACATCTGTATTGACGATCCACAAACCTTAACTGAAAGTGATGGTTCCAAACAAGGCTTCCTTCCTTCCTTCCTCCACCTTACTTTCACTTAGAGACTATATTTTTAGAAAAATGGTTTTGGAAGGTCTGCCTCTTGGCAGACATAGGTTGGGTTAGCCCAGTGCTAAAACAGTGAGTTGTGAAAGCATCACCTGATTATTAAATATGAGTTAGGACTTGCCACACAAGGAAACTTATTGATATAATTACACCGGTGTAATTATGCTCAGACGATTTCCTGTGTCAACAAGCCCTTCGATGCAACTGCTTTGGCCCCTTCTTACTCAGTAACTCATCAGGCCTCTGACTGCACCTTAAAATTGCATCATTGTCAGCTAAAAAAATCTTCAACGTGCACGTTTAACGCACCGGCAGCGCTGCCAGCGTGCTGGGCAGACCAGCAGGTAAGCTTTAAAAAATGATGGAAGAATGAAGGACAGAAGAAATGAACTCTCCCAGTCTGGGAAATGGTTGTGGAGCCAATGGGTCCTGAAAAGTATCATTACATAATTGTGTGGATTTGGGCTCATCCAAGTGTGTGGCTCGTTCACACCTTTTCTGGGCTAGGAGTGTCTTGGCCTGTCCACTCCTTGAGTCACCCTTATCTCTGATTTTGATCCCCAGCAGTGGCTGCAGTAGGAGCACACACACAGCCAGTTTCCAATTCGCAAAATATTTTTTTTTTTTTACTAAAATAACATTTCTGTGATTGCTCAGGGTTCTTCTACAGCCACCTTTCCCCCACCACTGTCTTTTGACAGAGTAATTTTGCTGGTTTATTAATTTTACTTCATAAAACCATAAAATACCACAAGATTGTTACTTTTCTAATATCTGTCTTTGATAGGTTTTCCCTTTTTTTGGTAGAAATTGCCAGTTTTAAGATTGATAGCTATGAACATTTAGTTTATGTAAATGGAATGAATTATAATGGGAAGTCTGGTTTTTTTCCTGATAAAAAATAAGCCTAAAGGCAGTATACTGGCACCTCATTATTCCAGACCCAGCTTACTTTAATTCACACTTGAAAGTGGGGCTCCTGATGGTCTCAATCATCTTATCAGGGCTGAAATGTTCTCATTATTCATTGTATGGTCTAGCAAATCAGTGAGGAGCTTCCAATCCTTTGTCACATGGATGCTTCTGTTTATTAGTCTTTCATCTTTTTTCTAATTCCTTCTTTCCTTGACAGCACTTTAAAAGTAGAATCCAGGAATGCATGTAGATTTTCCAACGCTTTGGGACGCTGCCTCTCCCAAAGCATCATCTGTGTTCGTGATGGCATCTCCCCCTGTTCTGTCAGCACCAAATTCACTCTTTTGTGGTGCTGCATTTCCCAGCTGGTTGCTGTAGGAAGTTTAACACAAGATAGTTTGGTTTTGCGTTCTTAATTTGAGGCAGTAGTCCAAAAAGTGAATTCAGATCAATGGTTGTATTATTTAGTTTTTTTTTTAACTCTGGAGTTCCATTCCCACCCGTCAGCTCTGTAGTTAACACACATGTCTCTGTTTGAGATGTAGGCTGAGTGCTTATCGGGTCAGTGCTGCTGTTTAATAAACAGTACTTATCTCCGTGAAGCAACACCCTGCCCTAAATAAGTTTGCCTTGGGAGCTGAGCCAGAAATAGCTTTCTTTTTCTTTTTTTTTTTTTCCCTAATTTTTTTCTTTAATTGGATCGTAAAAAACAAATCATTGAAAAAACTGTTCAAAATGAAAATACAGGTGGCAGTGGTGCTGCTTCCTGAGCAGCTTGGTGCTTTTTTTTCCCCTCCATGAGTCATGCAGGTTGTAAAGCTGTGTGTTCACATCTTTCCCCAGCAGTTGTGCCTCTCTCAGCGTTTCATCTTATTCTCAAAACTGAGTCTGTGCCCTCAGTTTTATTCATTAAAACTCCAGTAGAGAAATGTGGTGATGTTGGTGAGCAACCCGTGTTTGTGTTGATCCCTGAACAATTACAGATACGGCCTCACTGTGCCCCTGTGAAGCAAAACTCAATCCCATTTTAATACAGAGGGAGGAGGGTTTATTGCTTAATTACAAAATTACTGTAATTGGCAGCATAAATAGCTTGCTGGGGGTGTTTTTCCCCTTCCATGATGCTTGTCTTTGTACTTCATATTCCTAAGCTTGATATTTTTTTTGTATTTCTGAAATCTAGTTGTGATGTAGCACAGAAAAAGGAAGGGCAGCGAAATTAGGATGTGGAACTAGATACAGTAATGTTAGAAGGCTTAAAAATAAACAGGGAAGGGAATTGCTTAATATTGATAACAGTTGGCCAGGTGACAGTGGTAAGGACATGCCTGGAATGCAGAGTGGGGATAACAAGAAATGAAAATGTTAAAATACAAATTCCAGGAGCCTGAGCAGGAAATTAAAATATTTTTGAATGGGTGGTGTTATGGGGATTGTGGAGAAACACACACAAAAAAATCACAGAATAATGTTAATGATTAGGACATAATTTTCAAATGGGGACTTTCTGTTAGGGGAAGATGGAAATAAAAATATGTGTAGTGATGAGCTGTACAGAATTCAGCAACAGAATGGCTGGAATCATATGTGGGAGACAGATTTCTTTGGGAAAATGATGGTGAACGAGACTGTGGAGGAGTAGAGGCAGGTGTTTGTGCACATCCTCCTGATCGAATTTGGGGGTGGATCACAGAAACCTTTGGCGTATTGCAAGTGTAAATATTTGTGGGAGTATTTCCAACAGTAATGATAATGCTATAAATAACTCTGTTAGGTGTCTTATCCGCAGCAGAGCATTCTCTTCCACCTAATGACACAGAAATTGTGAATTTGTGACATGAAACGAGGGGATGTGGTGACTGCAGGGCCACCTGAGAGAGTTCCTCACCTTCAGAAAAATATGAAGGAAGCAGAGGGCCTCTAAGTGTTGGGAAAAAGTGAAAAGTCACGTCTGAGAAGTCAAGATGTGCAGGAATTAAGGAAAAAAAAATTGCCAAAGGATGAGCAGAACCAGTGAGCTGAGCATTTTGTCTTTCCCTCAGGGATGGAGGTGGCCAGGGTCAGATGCAGAGGCAGATGGGCTGCTCCTGGCAGGGCTGGGTTACAGGTTACAGTGGAGCTGAGGTGACGCTTTGCTCCGTTTCTCGAGGCATGTGTGGGCACTTCAAAGGCAACATGGATGGATAATAAAGTGAGAATTGCTGTGCTGCCATTGAAGTTTTAAGTCGTGGAAATGCAGGTCTTCAGCAACAAGTGTCTTTAATGTTTTGATGGAGTTGGTGCTGGAGCATCACAGGCTTTAACGGCAGTGTTTATAAAAAAGAGGGGAAAAAGCAAATGGAATTTTGGTGGCACGACCTTAAAAGGGTGGATGCCTCAGAATATGTCTGGGAGACAAGATCTTAAACAAGATTTAAAAAAAATAATAACTAACAGATCTGCCTAGCATGTTCCCAATATCAAACCAAGTTATCTGAATTCCAGTGAAATATTTGGTATGTGGGGAAGTTGGTCCTGAAAGTCAGGTTAGTAGGGCAGTAAAAATGAGGAGATACTGATGAGTGGGACACTGGCCATGGGGAGTCTTGAAGGGTAAAGTGGGGAAAGGATGCTACTAATGATGGAAATGCTCTTATTATTTCATGAACAAACTTTGCATAAATGTTAGGAATAAGTAAATGAAACTTCACCATGGAGAGTATAGGAGGCACTGTCAGGTTTATGAGAAGAGACTAACAGAAGTAGTTTAGCCTAGAATTAAGTATTAAATGGGAATGTGGTTTCAATCCAGAAATGCAGTCAGGAGTACTCAATCTGACGAATCACAGAGTATAACCTACCAGTGAATAAATAAGAGTAGAAGGATGTTTCTGAGCGTTGAAGCATCACAGCTGGGGAGCAGCTTTCCAGCAGGGAAAGCAAGGGTGGAAAAGTGACCTGTTAACAAAGGGATGTGTGTTGTTTCTGGTGCTAGCAGAGAACTGAGTTTGATAATCCCAGGAAACCACACCTGGATTCTTACCTAAGTAATGAGAAGCCTCCTGGGTTACTTCACATGTGGAGGTTTTGCTGCAAGTTGTTATTGCTCCAGACCACAGAACACCGGAGTTACTGAGGGTGAAGTTTTCAGGCCTTGAGCTGGTACCTGACACTCTTCTCCATGGATTTTCATGGAATTTCCTAGATTGAAACAATGACAAGCAGCTTCTGTGCTTCTGCTTCACATTGTCTGATCTCTGTCTGATGTTTGAGCTCAAGAATTCAGTACAGCAGCAATAGAGTATTTGCTCTGTTTGCTTTCTGTGTAAAGGAAGCAGTAGGATATAGCTGAATTCTAATACACAGTGTTTTCCAGAGAGCTGCAGCATGGAGGAAAGTGGTGGAAACTTCATTTTCTAGGTGTTTGCTTAAATAAAGTGGTTCAAGTGATTTATTTTGAAACCAAGGTTCTTCCCTGTAAGGAGGACCTTGGTTCTCACCTTCGCAGCAGTGTCCACTTGGACTATGAAATTCCCACCCAGATGACTGGTAGTATAGGAAAATGCAACTGATTTTAAGACTTTGTTCAGTAATCAGGGCTAGGAAATACAGCAAATGGTGAACAAGCATGGGAAGAAACAGAATCCATGGACTCCTGATAGCAGGGTGTTTTGATTATTTGTATTTTTTTTAATATACTTTTGATTATTTAAAAAAAGCTACCAGTTTAAATGTACTGTGATTCACTGGTCAAATAGCTAATGGTAAATTTGTTGAACTGATGGCTAAGCTGTGCTTTCTCTCTGTTTCAGTGCTCACACCTCCTCCACCGTTGCCACCGCCAATACAGGGATATGCCTTTAAACCTCCTCCTCGACCAGATTTTGGCACTTCTGGGAGAACAATCAAACTGCAGGCCAACTTCTTTGAAATGGACATTCCTAAAATAGATATCTACCATTATGAATTGGATATAAAGCCAGAAAAATGCCCTAGAAGAGTTAACAGGTAATACCGTGCTTTGCTTTTCCACAGTTTATTTACAGTCTTGTTTTCCTTTGAAAATGCTGGGCCCTTTGTGCTTTCCCTGACGGCTGAGAGGATGTGTCTGGCTTTATCCACTGGTTGTACTGATCACTTCCAACTTTGTATATCCGTCTATAGACTTTTTCCCCCCTCCAAGTCTTTATTTGGATTGAATTTGTCAGCATCTTAAGATGCTGCTGATCGAAGCCACTGGTGACAGATGGATAAACTGTACTAGCTCTAGTGGAGCTGGGTCAGTATGAGCCAACATTATAAGTATGATTTAGTATTCCTTGGTTAAATACTGGAGTGCAATTGGCTGATGAGTCCTTCAGCAGGGAGTTGGTGCAACCAGCTTGTTTTCCCACCTTTCCCTGCTCGCAAAGGGAGGAAAAACCCATTTGTTTGTGCTGCTGTGAGAGGATCGTGGAGGTACTAAATTAGGTAAGAAATTATCCTCCATCAGTAGACTCTATATAAGGGAAAGCTGTGCTCCTGAAACAGATAGCGAGGTGGCCAAGGAAACAAGCAGTCAGGTCTTGCACTTGGCATATGTGCCTTGTTAGTCAGAGTGTGCAGCTTCATTGACTTGAAAAAGAGCGGCGTTGCCAGAAGTGAAACTCGAGAACGAGACTTGGCACTGACTGGAAACCACAAGTGTCATCATCATAACTACCTACATCTCAGCTGTAGAGGATCAGAATGGCATGTTTATATATTCAAGAGCGAAACCTTTCCTTGTTAAAAAAGGTCACATGGATGGAATATGAAATCATGAAAATGAACAAAGTGTGGAGTCAAAAGAGCCACCCGAAAGCCACGGTTTTCTTGATGTGATTTAATAAACCTGAGGGCATTCTCCATTGTTATTCTGAGGAGTTGGTAATGATAGTGTTTTCATAAAGCAAGCATCACTGTGCAAGTTTTCTCCACTGCCAGCTCGTGTCCTGCTTGGCTTTGTCGGGTTGGTCACTCCTCTGTTGTGGTAACAGGAGCAGGGTCAGATCTGCACAGATTAAATGCCTTTTGCAGTAAGCAGAAATGTCACAAGTGCATTCAGCAGTGGTGTGGTAAGAATACAGATTGGATTCACTTACTGAAGTGTGTGTTTTATTTCTTCTGAGTGCTTGCTGCTGTATGTGTTACCCTGTAATGTTCCTGCACTCACCTGCCCCTACCTGGGTTGTTGTGAGCTGTGACCTTTCAGTCCCATGTGTGTACTGGGGTATATGGGATATGTGTATATGGGATTATGCAGGATGCACGTGTAAATCCAACTCTAAATGATGCTTTTTTCCAGCTCGTTTATGTGTTTCTAGTATTTTGATTATGTAATTCAGATGTATATTTTTAGTAAGTAGTTTTTATCATTATATTACACGTTGTAACCTCTGAAATGGATAAAGGAGGTTTTTTTTGCTCTACTGCCCCATCTGTCCCAGCTTCATTCTTCAGTTTTACTCTAGGGCTTACTACTCCAGCTCCTACTGTGACCCTGCAGATCCCTGCAGGGTGTGCAGTGTACGTGCAAGTTCCACACTGAGACATGAGCTGGGAAACACACAGCTGAGACAACGTGCTGCTGTGCCAGATTAGTCCAGTCTGGCTGCAGTTCTTCATGTGTGGCAGAAAGGCCAGGTCTATTTGGGGAGTTGGACAGGCCGAGTGAGCAGTGTGAGTTTGGTAATACACTTTAATTCACGAGGACTCATGCAGGGTGCAGGATGAACTGTGGATCCAGTTGCTGGCCCAGGGTTCTTGCTGTGCTTACAGGAGCTTGGTAGAACACTAGTCCCAAAGGGCTGAAGTTGGTGAATTGGTAAATAACTCTTCTTTTAACTTCACATGGAGAAAATAACTTAGTTTTCATTAAGATATCTCCACCCACAGTGGAGAAGCTCTACTGCTAAATGTGGATGTGGTTTGAAGCTTGAAAATATTAAGTGCAAGTGTTCATTTTTTATATATAAAGCAGTTCACAATTAGAACTTGCTCAGAAAGAGAGTGGGGTTTCCATAGCTCAGTCTTTAACTCCAGGTTGAAAAGTACCTCCTTCCTCCCACCCTTCGAATTATCTGCTTGTTCAGTCAGACACTGCAAACCTGAGGCAGATATTACTGGGTCAGGTTTGATTCACACTTCGCAGGAAGTCAGAAGAGTTTCTTTCACTGGTCACACTTTATTTTAAGATGAGCCTTGGGACACAGCAAAGAAATCGCCAGTTAAAACAGTCTTAATTCTTTTCTTGAACAAGCTCAGAGTTTCATCTCAGGTTTTGCAGCGCTAATACCGGCCTGTGTGCTGCGTTAATTGCCTTGCCAGGTGGAGGTGTACAAAGCAGTCACCTGCAGCATCTCTGAGCTGCTGGTTGTCAGCACTGCTGAAGGAACAGTGGTTTCCTTTCCCTGTCATTTTAACCTCTTAATGCCCTTTTGCCCCAGGCTGTGTGTTCAGATTGCAGACTGCTGATGGATTTTTGGATATCACACGTGGCCTGAAGGATGTCTCTCTGGGACACTGGGACCAAAGACCTTTGGCGTCAGAGGGTGTTATTTCTCCAGCTGACCTCCCATGGCTGCTGGAACTGCTTTGCATGAGCAGTGTGTAAACACTGTGGTTTGACAAGAACTGTGGGAGTGGTTTCCCCATTCATACAAACATTCAGCCGAATTCCAGCCGTGCTTAAATGAATACTTTTAATATGCACAGGAACCAGGGAAAGGGCATATCCAGCTCTGTTGGATGGATCCCAATTTTGCTGGGGACATGAAAAAATTGGATTTAAAAGTTAACCCCATGCAGTGCAAAAGGTTTGCATGTCGCTGTCATCACAGAGCTGTCATCATTACACTGAGGCTGTAAGCTGGGGTAGTGATATTTTTGAAAGCTGCTTAGTCTGCTGAGTTTTTGCTCTGTGGTCCTCTGCAGAAAGGGCTGTAGGACAAGGAAGCAGAAGCCCCAGGAGATTCCCAGCACCTCTTGTTTTGAGCTTGAGAGAGCACAAGCTTTCACTTCACCACTTTCATTAGATCACAGAAAAGAGGAAGGAAAGTTTAAATCTGAAAAAGATAAAAATAGCAGTTTTAAGAAAACAGTTTAGTCTGTGAAAAGGTTGCTTTAATTCAGATCAGCCAAACAAATCTTGCCTTTAATAGCCAAAAATGGACAACCTTTCATTTACCTAATGCCTCTATTGGTAAATATTAATGTCAGTATTCATCTGCTACTGAACATTGTAAGTAAAAGGTTGAATGAACTTAATCTTTTTGTATTTCCAGAGAAATCGTGGAGCATATGGTTCAGCACTTTAAAACCCAGATTTTTGGGGACCGCAAGCCAGTGTTTGATGGAAGGAAAAACCTTTACACAGCTATGCCACTTCCCATCGGGAGAGATAAAGTAAGTTTTAAATAGAAAAGTTTCTCACTGAAGATTTTAATGTGGTATTTGCAGAGCCTGCCTAACAGCTGACAGAAACTGGTTGTTTCTGGAGTAGATGTCTCGTGCTGTTGTCACTCTGCTCAGGGTGTGGTTGGCCAGGACACCAGTGTTGTTGCTGTTGGAGTGGTCACTCCCCGTTCCCTCTCCCTTCTTTCCTCCCTCTCTCCCTCTCCTCTGTGTGGTTTCTGCTGCATTGATGAGCTGGACCAGCTCCAGACTGGCACTAGGGAGAAAGTGGGAGCAGAGCTGAGTTTAGAGAGGGGACTGGGAACACCCTCCAGGCAGCAGCAGCTGTTGTGTCACCTCGCTAATCTCATCAAGGCTCACTCTAAGCTTATTCTCTCTATCAGTAGCTGGAAGAAGCTCCTCCATCTCTCTGTTGCCTGTATAGAACCTCTTCCCTAATCCTTTATGACTGAGAGCCAAACTAATTTAAACTGCACAGGTTAAGACCTGCTATCTTAGCCCTGGGGCAGTTGGAGGGGACTGTTCTGTTTGCCAGCTCTCCCTGGGGCTGTGACCTCTTTGGGCTCTGGTTGGAGCTGCTCCTGTGCCCATTGACTGGTGAAGCAGAAGGTTCTCTGTCGGAACATGCTAACACACAAACCCTGTAAAATAACTTAGCCTGGGCATCTGGGATCTCACACCAGTCTGAATTTTTCTGTGGCCTTTTTATCATTAATTTTCATTCAGTACAGTAAGTACCTTCTACTGTGTGTGCAAGGTGAGGCCTGCACAGTTACAGAGAAGGACCATCCTATCCCAAAGGAGTGGATTACAACCTCAGGAGACAAAAAGTAAAATGTAAGGGGTAAAGGGAAATACAGAGAAATGTAGAAACTGGGAACAGAGTGCAGGTCTTCTGAAATGCAGCAGCTCTAAAATAGTTCTTTGCTGTCCCATACCGTTTCCCTGTGCAGAGCTTGACACAGTTAATAGTTCTACCTGAATCAAGCTCTTAATCTCATATGTGTAATTTTTATTTCCTCCCAATCTGTTTAAGTGAATGTCATGCAGTAAAGGTCAGTCTCTCCTCCAGTCTTAATTATTCTTCATTAACCAGTAAGGTAATGTCTGGGGAAACTATAAAGGGCTCATTAAAAGTATTAGAGATTTTTTTTTTTTTCCTCATCCAGGAAGAAACTTCCCAATCTTGCCAGAGTGATGATCACTTGCAATAGGTGGTCACTGAGGAGGTGTTTTTAGTGGATAGTTCAGGTGGTTTCGTCTGTGGCTCACTTTCAATAAACTCCTGTTTTTTTCCCTGTTTCCCACGGGGTACAGGACACTGTCAGTTGTTCTGCTCTATACATGTATTAATGTTCCCCTGGAGGAAAGAGCTAACAGAGATAAACCTTGAGCCGTTTAAAATGGGATGTGGGGAAATTTAGCTTAATGCAGGAAATTTTTACATGGTGCTAAATTGGTTTAAGCGTGATTTAAACCAGTGTGAAGCTTGTAGGTATTAGGACTTTCTTCCAGCATAATTAGATTAAGTTTCTTTGGTGGGGTTTTCTTTGACTGTTCTGTACATAACAAATGAGTAAGTGTACTGCACATCTGATTACATTTAGGATCATATTGAAAAGATTCATGAGCATACAATGATTAATACATGATCCTTAATCTAAGTGAAAGACTTTAACTTACTTGCAGTATGCTTTGGTGGAGGAAGAACTGGTGTTAAACAGAGGGCTGACACCAAATTGCCAATTTTTTTCCCCCTCCTGTTGCTCTTTAGCTTAGTTAATACACTCTCTCCTCTTCTCTTGTTGGTAGTTGTTGTTCTGGCCTTGGTTTTTTTGGTCCTTGCTGACAGCTCTGCTTCTTTTATAACTTTTTCTGTTATATAAATACTCTTCTGCTTGGCTTTCCTGGTTATCAAACCTGCTTTCAGTCCTTCCTTATTGTATCTTATTTTCACTCTTCAGTTTCTTCATTTCTTTAGACCTTTCAGAACAAATACAGATTATGTAAATATTAACATGATATTTTCTTAGTTTTTTACTTGTACACATTGAGAATAAAGACATGTACAGGACAGTGTCAAGGTAGGAAGATATTTAATAGTCTCCTCTTTGTTCGTAGGGTCGAACAGCAAACCCAGGTCACCTCCAGCAGCAGCTTTGTACTCAATTTCTGCATTACTTGTGTATCTCTCTAAAATGTCCTTCTGCAATTAAAAGCTAGAATTTAATTTTAACTGAGCTGGAGAGTTTGCTCACCTAGCAAGATTCGAGAGCAACTGATAGATCTTAACCTACATCTTAATTAGTCTTTAATTAGAAAAACCGTAATGATGAATGAACTGTTCAGAGGGGGTTGACACAGAAATCCTGCTGCTCTTCCCTTTTCCAGAAGGAAAGTGTCCTTAGTCCTGTCCATGGCCACAAACTCACTCCTCTGTCTGTCTGTTTGAAGTACTGCTGAGAACTCTGTACGTGGCAGAAGAAGAGCTCTTTCCTACATCCATCCTACATCCTTCCAAACAAGTCCATGGCAGATGGGCAACCAAATACTGGAATGGGAACTGCTCATCTGCTTTCCCCTGAATCCCTGGAAAGGAAAGGTTCTCTTGGATTAGTGGAGAAAAGGTATCTTGTATGCTCAAAACATGATAAAATAATCATGTAACGTTGCATATATTTTACACAGAAGAAAGAGTACTAAGAATTCCCCAGAAACACATGGTCAGGTTTAGTTATTATTATTTTTAAACAGTGCTATTCTGAGTTGTATTAGTAATTCAGGCCACATCAGCTTCAAGACCTACTCTTTTTAAGAATGGCTTTAAAATTTTTCTGTAGGCTTAATGAATTTTTTCATCCTCACAGTAAAATCCCTTTCATTTAGTTCTTTTAACTGCAAAATTATGTTAACTGTCTTGCAGTTTAGCAGTGGGTTTAGCAGGTAGCAGGTTACTGACTGAGATTGTAATTTTTTTTTATTATTCGGTGATAGATTATAAATCAAACATTACATTTTGCTGTAGGGTTTATCCCTAATAATTAAGGGCATAGTAAAATTGCCATTTAAAATTATTTTGTCTTTAAATTTTTTTTTTTAACTCTGTCAAACATAAATGTGTTCATTTGTCCTTAAAAATATAGGGTGGGATAAATAAAATATTACTGAAAGTAAAATCCTTTTTTTAGGTTGAGGGTACCAACAGTTGTTAATAGTCAGATTAGTTGTGTATTGGGAATAAGTATAGGATGGTTTGAGTTGGAAGGGACCTTAAAGGTGATCTCATTCCAACCCCCTGCCATTGCAGGGCCACCTTCCACTACACCAAGTTGCTCAAGCAGAAATTATAAAACTTGATTTGGAGGAGAGAGGTTTGAAGGAAAATGCATCTCACAGCGACAGACTCTTCCATCTGCTGTAAATGAGATCCAAGTTGAGGACCTTTTCATGGTGTGATGGGAAAAAAAGGCTTCATGGAGAGCTTCCAACCTGTGTGAGCTGAAAACCTGTCCCTGTGTTTGCACAGATTTGAGCTGAGCTGACCTCCTGGGCCAGATTCACCCCGGTGACCCCATGATTAGACTCCCGTTCTCGTTGCATTCCCACAGCAGCTCCTTCCTCTGCTGGGATCTCCTGGGGAATGACGTTTGTGCTAGAGGAGAGCTGCAGCTGTAAGAGTCATTTTGTGTGCCTACTATAGATGGTCAACTCATTTTTGGGGCACAGGAGAAAGGCTTGTTATTTGTGTTTTATCTTTCCTTCCTGTTTTTGGGCAGAAGACTCGAACTGTCTCGAGAGAGCAGATGCTGGCAGCTCCTGGTTTGCTGGTACCCACCTATTATTTTTGCTGGCCCACTAATTGCAGTTTGTCTGTTAAGTGGATGCCTTTTGTATTTAAATTGCAAGCTCCCTAGGACAGGAAAATACAACGTTTTTTGTTTGTATCCAGCACAGAGGATACTCTGATCTTGTTATTTCTTGTAGTCACTCCCACAACTGCTAATCATTTCAGACAAGCCTTAATTTTAGTCGGCTTAAGAACTTTGGTGCTCAGACTTTCTTTAAGAAAGAGGAGAAATCAGCATTAGAAATAATTACAAGTGATTAGATGAACTAATTTACCATTATGTAGTTTGTCAGTGATTTTTTAGACAAAAAATTCAAAGTAGGCATAAGTAGGCATCATTAGTACTTGGGGGTCACCATATATTCTTTCTTTGGTATTTAAAAATAAGAGGTTTTTGGCTTGGTGGGGTTTTCTGGGTTTTTTGTTTTGTTGAGGGGGTTGGTATTTGGTTTTTCAATCTCTGTTTTAAAGCTCCTGTCTTCTCTTGTTTGAACTGTGTCTACAGTGATAGTGTATCAAGCACTCTGGTGCTCTAGAGAGCAAATACCAGAAATTCATGAGTCTTGGCAGGTGGTGACAGCCCATGTTTTATTTTGGGCGTGCAGGAGCTGACATGAGCAGTGATGCATCGGGACGTGGTGGGGATCTGAAATCAGGTTATGGGATCTTCACCGAGACCTCCCAGCTGATAAAAGTGCTCCCAAATTACGGTGTTGCCTGGCAGAGGGAGATAGCTGCCAGCTGGGCAGCACTCCAGGTTTCTGAAATACACCTTTGGGAAGATCTCAGCTGCAAAAAGAGAGGCTGTACCTAATGTGTGTTGTTGCTTTATCATTGCTTTTTGTCTCCTCCCGTGCTTTATAGGGCCATTCAGAGGATTCCATCGTCCCTTCCGAGCCCCTTCCATCCTCCCCCCCACTTTCAATGGAAAGAATCATCTTGGTTTGTTGTTTGGCATTGTTGCAGGTGGAGCTGGAGGTCACGCTGCCAGGAGAAGGAAAGGACAGAATATTTAAGGTGGCTATAAAGTGGATGTCCTGTGTGAGTTTGCAGGCTTTACATGATGCTCTTTCTGGCCGGCTGCCCAGTGTCCCGTTTGAGACCATCCAGGCACTGGATGTAGTGATGAGGCACTTGCCTTCCATGAGGTGAGGGGAAGACCTTGACGTGGTTTAGGTGTTATTTGAATTGCTTTGGTGGCTTTTTTTGGGTAGGATGTGCTTTCATAGCTCAAGCACAGCGGATGGCGGGCTCAGGCAAGGGGCAACACGGTGCTTTTCGCTCATCCGGTGGGATTAGGAGCCTCCAGCCTGGGACACAAGACCCTTCCCCCAGTGCTCTGGCTCCCTGTTTGTGTGCTTTCAGCTCAGGGCTGTCCTGCCATCTCTCTCTTTTCCCTGTAGAAGCTCTCCCCGAGTACTTGGAGGTTGGTAGAGGTGGAAGGGTGGTTTTAAACCAGCTTGTTACCCCGTTCCTCCGTGTTCTTGGGCAGATGTTCACTGCCAGTTCTGTATAAAGGATACAGTGCTGGGGGGGGACACATTAATGTCACCCTATATGGCTCTTTTTATAGAAAAGAAAATCTGAGAAACTACTTGATTTCTTTTATTTTCCAAATAAGTGGGATCTACAGCGTTTTCAGTCACACCCAAGAGATTCTGAACTTAATTCTGCTGCCACGAAACAAGTCACTCAAGACCACTGTGCAAATTATATTTGATTGGAAAATAAATTTTAGTAGGGCTGAACTTCTACATTTTGAAGGGCTAAACAGGGAATATGAGTTACATTTATGCGAATTACTTTAAATAGCCTTATAGTATGTTGACTTTATCCTCATATTATGGATTAAAAGAAGTAAAATTACTTTAATCATCTTTAATCACAGAAAGCAGCCCATACTGTCAGATGGCTTTGTTCAGAGGAACATACTGGCTCTGGATATGATTAGTTGGCTATTCAGTGTGCAGTACTTAATTATCAAGAGGAAAGATATATCAGAAATATTTATTAGATCACTTGTTTACCCACACACAATGTCTGCTGTATTTCAGAGTAGGCACGAGTAAGGGGAGAGATTGTTGCATTGGTGTTTTAACAGCAGAGATGTTTAATTCTTTTCTTACTGAAGCGCTGCTGAATTTTTAATAGAATGCAAATAAAAATGCTTTTTGTCTGAATTAGTAGATATATTGAAGAGTACACCAAAAATAAAGTTAAACAAACTTGAGTAGTGGCCAATTTCTTCCTTTAACAAGCTGGATTTTGAGAGGTGTAACCTGAGTCCTGCCAGGAATCTCAGATTATTGGTAGTTTGAATCTCTGACATTTCTGTGGTTTTGTGAACAGGAGTTTGCATTACTTGTGGCTTTATTGCAATTTTTGCTTTAGTTTCCTGATTTGCATTTCTTTGCTTTATTGCAGGTATACTCCCGTGGGGAGATCTTTTTTTACAGCATCAGAAGGGTGCTCAAATCCTTTGGGTGGTGGCAGGGAAGTTTGGTTTGGCTTCCATCAGTCAGTCAGACCTTCATTATGGAAAATGATGTTAAATATTGATGGTAGGTGCTACAAAATAATGTATTGTTTCTACTTTCTCTCTAATAGAAAGGCAAAAATTCAGTTCCATTTGTTGGATTTCTTAAAAATGTTCTTAAAAATTTCCTGTGTATTATTGTAACACACCATTAATGTTTTTGTCTGCAGTGTCTGCAACTGCATTTTACAAAGCACAGCCAGTGATCGAGTTTGTATGTGAAGTTCTGGACTTCAAAAGTATTGAAGAACAACAAAAACCTCTGACAGATTCCCAAAGGGTAAAGTTTACCAAAGAAATAAAAGGTAATAAATTATGTGAAACTGCTTTATTCTGACTGATGTGTTGCCACTACATGTGCAAAATACTTTCTATATCAATCGCTGTGTTTGGAGACAAAAGTTTAATATTTTTCACTTTTGAAACACATCAGTAGTGCCAGTCCCAGTTCCATGAGAAAGATACTTCAGTTCCTAATCTGGTGATTTCTAAATATTTACAAATATTGGGATTTCATGTTTTTTTAATTACCCAATGCCTAATTTTTCCAATTGCTGATGTTGGGATTTTCATATTCCAGTTCCACTCAACAGTACAATTCCAACTCCAGTTACTGATATCAGGATTTTTATATTCCAGATTTTACTAATAATTAACAATATGGTTTTTGCATGCTTAGGTATACTTAATGCATACACTCTCCTGGAAGTAAATTGCAGTTATTCTGGTGTATAGTGACTGAATCAAAGAGTCCAGGAGGAAGAAATCTTACTGGTTTTGTTCACTCAAGGTTTCTTCTGGAAAATGGAGATCCTTCTTCCTGATATTCTTGGCAGAAAGAAAACAAGTTAAAATAGAAAAACTCCATAAATTGTATCCTGCACCTTCCTTTCTTGTTTCCATAAAATGCACACAAAATTATCTTTGCCCAGATAGAAGTTAGCACGAAAGATATAAATAAATCTGGAGTTTGTGTTGGTTGTAAATGTTCTGGAAAAAAATATCAGGCACCAAACTGCTTCATTCCACAGGCTCCTGGAGGCTGTTTGGGTGTGTTTTCTTCCCCACTCTCGATTCATTAGTTCAGGGTTGGCTGCAATAGTTGGAGGTCTCACAGGCATTGTATGTTTAGACAAAAAGTATAAACAAGGCTTTGTGTTTCAAGGAGGTTGTGTGCCCTTTCTGTCCTTCCCCCATCCTGGATTTCCCTGGAGGTACAGAACTGGAGTTCACAGAATGTGTTCAGCGTCATCTGTGAACTCCTGGGGCTGTGGGGTCTCATCTTGTCTCCAAAGTTCTGTGTTGAACTTCGGCTGAAGCTCAGGGGCTCTGAATTTTAAGGCTGTAAATTGCTGGGTTTGAGTTCTCCCGGTGATACCCTTTGGTGCTAAATAGTGAGTGTCTTCACTGCACAGTTGAAGTGCTCTCGTGTAGCAGTTTAGGGGCTGACACCTTGATTTCGAAGAGGTGGTGATTGGTGTTTTCCTATTTTTAGGTCTAAAGGTGGAGATAACACACTGTGGACAAATGAAAAGGAAGTACAGAGTGTGCAACGTCACCAGACGACCTGCAAGCCACCAAACGTAAAGGATTTTGCTGCTTTTTAAGCATGTTTGATCTCAAGCTGGAAAAACACCTTGCCTGCACTGCTGACATAGGAGAAGTTGCTTGAAAAATGATGCTTTCTTTGGTTGATAGCCTTAAAATACACCTCAGAATATTTTTCTCAGCTTTGCCGTTCTTTTTTTTCTGTTTTATACTACAATGAATGCCATGGCATTTGAACCAATTTGCTTCATTTTGAATTTGGGGGGGTTTTTTGGTTGGGTGGGGTTTTTTTCCCTTCCTTTCTTTTTTTGGATTTCTTCAACATTGGAAGAACAGGGTGTCCTGTTTGTAGCCTGATGTTTCTCACAACTTTTAAATAGAAGAGTAATGCCAGTTGGGATCAGCTTTCTAATCTTGCTTATTGCCAATCTGTTTTTCCTCTGGAAAAAAAATGTTTCTTTTTAATCACTAACCAGAGATTTGCAGATAACTTGAATATGGAGGTATTGATTCCCATTTTTAAGGAATTAATATAAGAAACAAAACTGATAGCAGCTTTTTACAAGAAGGTAACTGATGGTATCTAAATCTGATATTTCATTGTTCGGGCTTTGTTTCGTGCTCTTTCAGTAAGCTTAACTTGTGCCAAGAAGTGTATTGAGGAACTGTGGGAAAGTATTTTGCATGAAGTAACAGCCTCTTTTCATATTTGCTTTCCAACAGATTCCCACTTCAGCAGGAGAATGGACAAACCGTTGAATGCACTGTAGCTCAGTATTTCAAGGACAGGCATAAATTAGTTTTACGCTATCCTCACCTTCCATGTTTACAAGTTGGACAGGAGCAGAAACACACATACCTTCCTCTGGAGGCAAGTAAAATCATGGATAATGCTGTATTCCAGGACTGGGGGAAAGGGGTGAGAGGGAAAAAGGTTCAAATGTAGACAAACTGCTTTTTGAGTGGCCAGCATGAGGAATTCCGTAGCACAGCAGCAAACCAAAAAAACAGTTGCATTTTGTTTTTTAATTTTCTTTCCGTGGTGGATATTTTAGGTGTGCAACATAGTGGCAGGACAAAGATGCATAAAGAAACTCACTGACAATCAAACTTCCACTATGATTCGAGCCACTGCCAGATCAGCACCGGACCGTCAAGAGGAGATCAGCAAGTTGGTGAGTGCTGTGTCAAACATGAGTGAGGCGTTGGGGTGAACTCAATTTTGCCTACCTTTGGCAGGTACTGAATGTGTTCATGCCCTGCCCACAGGTTTTTTATCCCATTTTTTTGAATTCCAGATGCGGAGTGCAAGCTTTAACACCGACCCTTACGTTCGGGAGTTCGGGATAATGGTCAAAGATGAAATGACGGATGTGACCGGCAGAGTCCTCCAGCCTCCCTCAATCCTCTATGGAGGCAGGGTATGTCCAGGGGATGCTGTACCCAAGGCATACATGCCAGTCAGTGATGGCTTCCAGCACCAGCTGGGATATCTTCTGTAATATGGCTGTTTTAAATTAATTATGGGGTAAAGTTGTCCCAGGTGTAATGTTTAGAATTTACATTTAGGTTCTCGAAGTCCTTAAATGTAATGGCTGTGTTGCATCTCCCTCAGTTGCTTCCTTATTTCTGAAAGCAGAGCTGGGTTAAAATGTGTCTATTTAAACTCAGAAGGGTGGTTGGGCACTGAACAGGCTCCCCAGGGAAGGGGTCACAGCACCAAACCTGACAGAGTTCAGGAAGTGTTTGGACAATGCTCTCAGTCACATGGTGGGATTAATGGGGTTGTCCTGTGCAGGGCCAGGAGTTGGACTGGATGATCCTTGTAAGTCCCTTCCAGCTCAGGGTATTCCATGATTCACTATTTACCAGTACTTAGTGATGTGCAAAATATTCACTGTACTTAAATTAGGTCCCTCTTGGCAAGTTCACTGAGCAGTTGTAAAGTGCCACTGTAGAAATGTGGGTTCCTGTTAACGTTCCATACCAGGCGTGAATCCGACTTACTCTCCGTGTTTAATTTCCATCTGCTGCTGAGTTATACAACCATAGGAAATGATCAACAATAAAAATGAGCAATGTGAGCTTTATTTTTCACGTGTTAGGAAGCTGTCTTGCTCCAATGATAGAATGATTGTTATAGGATGGGTATTTGCACAGGGGAGAGAAAGATCTGAGAGTGCAAATCACTTGCCAGTTGGAGGGAACCAGAAGCATAACTACTTTTTATTTATTTAGCATGAATCAAGTTTTGCCTTATTGTTTCATTTTCTTTTTCCTTCCACTTCCAGAATAAAGCAATTGCTACACCAGTACAAGGAGTCTGGGACATGAGGAATAAACAGTTTCACACTGGAATTGAAATAAAGGTCTGGGCCATCGCGTGCTTTGCTCCCCAGCGCCAGTGCACTGAAGTTCATCTGAAGTAAGATGGTCATTTTATTACTTATTATGGATGGAAGTGTCATGATTTCACTTACTCATTTAGAATATGTATTTTGTTAAATTGTTTAACATATGGCAGTACATCTTTAACAGTGCTTTTGAAGTTCTGTCTCTCTTTGAGCGATGCCAGTATGATTTCAATGCCAGCATCAGGAAATCCTGCAATTCAGACTTAACAAAAGCCATTTATGCTCTATGGCAAGTTTCTGACCAGGGATGGGTGTTTGTCAAGAGTGAAAGCTAACATGTATGTTCTGTTGGGTTCTATTCCTGGTTGGAATAGCTTTATTTGTGCAGAACTTATGTAAAAGGAAAATTAAAAAGCAATCCAACTTTTGTCTAAAGCTTTTTCCCCTTTAGAGTTCCTGGAATGTGCAAGTTGCTGTATTTGCCAGATGAGTAGCACTAGTTGTTTTGTTGACTGTGAGCATTTGTATGAAACCTCCAGATTTGGTTTCTTCATCTTTGGGTGGAATATGATAGTTGAAATAGTGTTTTTAAAAGTGACATCTACCATCTTGGATCAGGGAAAGTGTGCAGGCCTGGGTGGGTGTCTGGTTCCTTCTTTCACACACAGCTGCTTTCCCTTCATGCATGGGCAAGTGCTGCTTTTAGAGCTGCCCTGGCAGGTGACTCACCTTCTTGCTGGGAGGTGAGTGCAGGGCACTGACTGCTCATACCAGTGGTGTTGCCATAGCAGGGTTCTTTCAGATGATTTGCCAGATAGCTTGGGAATTTTTCCCTGACAAGTGATGAGCAAAGGGTGGGAATTTTACTTTTTACTGCCCATTGTGTAAGGGAGGGACTTGTTCTCTCCAGACACATGGCAGGAACGAGGCTACCATGGAATTTTCCCTTCAGTTCTGTTTCTTCCAGTGGAAATGCTGCATAAGTGATTCAGTTTTGAGAAATAGGTAGAATTCTTTCAACATAGTGAACCAAAATGAAATTATTTGATGGTTTAGATGGAGATGGTCCTTACCAGGAGCGGACATTTCTCCATGCAGGGAATATGGCTGTGTCCAGTTTCATCTTGTGGGCTCTTGTTACAACTTATTGAGGAAGTTGGAACTCAAATGCTGTAGATCAGTCAGAGTAAACCTTTAAATTCCCTAAAGGTGTTCAAAACCATCCTGCTTTACCTCTTGGGAACAGACAGAAAACCTTAGACACCGTACTTCCAGATGGACTTCCAAAACAGCTCAGGTTTTGAACCATGAGACTTGAATGTTACAACCACAGAATGATTTGAGTTGGAAGGGAGAGTAAATCTCTTCTTGTTCCACCTCCTTGCCAGGGGCAGGGACACCTTCCACTAGACCAGGTTGCTCCAAGCCCCATCCAGCCTGGCCTTGGACACTTCCAGGGACAGGGAGATGTTCTACCACTGACTCTGCTGTAGTGGTGTCTATTTTTCCAGGGGAGATGTTTAATGTGCCCATTTTCTGCCAGGAGCCCCAGGCTGCAGGGCTGGAGCTCACACACTGTTATGATTCATGCAAGTGAACAATGGGTTTGGAAGAAACTAAACCTTCACACCCTCTCAGTGGGTGGCACCTTGGCACCCTTTGGTGAAGCAGCTTTTTAGGCACCTGTGGGGGCTTTTATCAGTGAACTTGGGTTGTCTCTATTTCTGACCAGTTCCATCCACTTATATTTGCACTGTCCTTGGAAAAAGGTTTGTCTTCACCTCCAGGATACGCCTTTTCTCTGGTATTTGGAAAGGTTTTGTTGTGCATTATTATTGATGTTTTGATCAGTTCACTGAGACAGTTGCTGGTAACTTCTGTTGGTTGTTTTCCTCACCAAGAAGAAGAAGTCCAGCCCTTTCTGTAGTGTAGTACCACATGGAATTAAAGGTGGAGCAGGCTATCCAAAATGTCATTGTTGCAGTGTTTTTGAAAATAAAGTAGCTTATGCTGTATCTCCTGTAGAAAGGTGAAATCAGGTGGAATTTGCTTTGGAAAGGATGTTTTTATTGATGATGTTATTTATGCAGCATATTTCCTGTTTTTCCTTCCGTGACTATGTAGACAGTTAAAGATGCACTTGGGATAAATTTCCAGGGTTTTGGACCGTTCCATTAAAAATAAGAACAAAAACCAAGATGAGTTTTGCTACCTGAGAATCTGATGTATTTATTTCCATCCTTCAGGTCCTTCACAGAACAACTGAGGAAGATTTCCAGGGATGCTGGAATGCCCATCCAGGGGCAGCCGTGCTTCTGTAAATACGCACAGGGAGCCGACAGCGTGGAGCCCATGTTCAGACACCTCAAGAACACTTACACTGGGCTGCAGCTTGTCGTGGTGATTCTGCCAGGAAAAACACCAGTCTATGGTCAGTAAGTGGAAACTCTGTGTTTCAGTCACAGCTTCGTGTGGTTTTTGGGAAGTGTCCAAATGAGAGAGGTTTAAGTGCTGGTTTAACTGTATAAATTCCGTTCAGGGAACGGGCTGTAAATTAATTTTATTATTCTTCTTGTGCTGCGTGATGTTTCATATTAGGGCCTAATTATTTAAATTATTTTTTTCCTGTGCTTTTAATTCGCTTCTCCACATTCTTCCTGCTGGCTGCATTTGAGATGCAGGAAAGCTAAACCAGGGCTTTGGTGAGACTGATGAAAGTGATACACAGTGGGTTAAAATACTCTTAATCTAACTTGTGTGCTGAAGATTCCAAGTGATTGAAGAAGTAATGACCTCAAGAACTGTGTAGCTTTTGCAACATCTTTGCTTGCTTACACCATCACCCTTTGGCAAAAAAAAAAAATCACAGAAGATGCTGAGTTGGAAGGGACCCACAAGGATCATCGAGTCCAACTCCTAGTCCTGCACAGGACCAGCCCCAGGAGTCAAACCCCGTGCCTGAGAGCATTGTCCAAGTGCTCTTGAACTCAAAATTGTTGAGTGAAGGAGAAGATTTCTGTCTGGTTTTCCTATTATTTCAGTTTTTTAACTCTGGTTGCGAGGATACAGATGCATGGAAGGTGAAAACTCAGGAAGCTAAACTGTTTTTTGGAAACAGAGGGACAATCAGTGCATTTTGCATAGCACACACACACACACAGAGGTTTTAATGTTTCAGATAAATCATGCATTTTGGTTTGAATCTATAGGCAAGACTGCTTGTTTTCCTGTCCTTTTTCCACTTACCTTGCCTAGTTGGAGCAGCATCCACTACTTTTCTCCTGTGGCTTCGTGGAGTCTCTTCTCTAATGGCTCAGATCTACCAAGCAGCTGCAGATTTGTTTTAGCCCATCCCTCACTCTCACCAATTTAACATAGCACAAAAAAACTTTCTGAATTTAACATTATCTCATACAAGGTGAAAGGAGAGATTAAACCAGAAACCTTAAGGAAATAGTACTTTGTTTTCCCCTGAAATTCAGCCTTGCAAAGGAAGTGGCTCATCTCTAATCGGTTCGATAGAAATTCAGTGCAAAATGGCATTTTCACTTTTCCTGCTTGGCATTAAAAGGGATCTCTTTCCTTTACTTAACCACTGAGAGGATGTGGTACCATTCTCATCTGCTTTCCTTGTCATTATCCTTAATTATAGTTATTCTGCCCTCTCTAATCATCTCTCCTTATTTTCTCCCTGTGCTCTTCCCTGCCCTGCATTTCCTATGCCCACAGCCTTGTCTTTTCTCCTCTTCCCACCCTGCTCTTTTCCCTCTCCTGTTACCAGAGTGGGGGTTGCATCTTCTCTGAGCCAGTCTTGGAGCCTGAATTTCCTCCCTGAGTGTAAGAGTCTGGCTCTCTTTTAAAGCCTTTAAGTCTCAGCTCTGTTGTTAACGATAGGATTTGGTTTAACCTTTGGAATTGTACAGTACTTAATGAGGTTTTTTTGGAGTTTTTATGGGCCATCCCTTGCTGAACTGGCCACTTTCTATGCAAGTGATAAACTTGCAGTGGTGAACTGATAAACTGGTTGGCTGAATGTTGCTCAGCACGTTACTGTTGGGTTTGTGTTACTAGACCAGTGTTTAATAATGAAACAAGTGCCCATCATCCTGATATTACTCACATCATTAACTAAAGGTGATGATATGACACTCTAATTCTAAAATAACAATTAAAAAAAATTCTCAGTTAATACATAAGCCAGCAGTGCCTTTAGTTATTCAGTCACTGGGAAGGTGGGGCAGTGCAGAACTGAGGGGAGGTTCAGTGGAGGCTCTGTTGGGTTTTGGGGTTGGGTCCTGCCTTGTTCCTCTAAGCGTGATGATCACTTTGCTACAACTCTAGGTGTAGTTAATTGACACTGAATTCACGTCACCTATGTGGTTTGGTTTGCAATTTGCAAATGTTTTCTGGTTTTTTTTTTTTTCTCCTGTCCTGCAGCGGAGGTGAAGCGCGTTGGCGACACCGTGCTGGGAATGGCCACGCAGTGTGTGCAGATGAAAAACGTCCAAAGAACAACACCTCAAACCCTGTCTAACCTTTGCTTAAAAATAAATGTCAAATTAGGAGGCGTAAATAACATTCTACTGCCACAGGGAAGGTAAGTCATCTTTCCAAGAGGAAGAGGGGATTTGTATTGTGAAGAGAACGTGCATCACACTGAGAGAACTCAGTGCTTTTATCTGCAGTTGTAGCCCTGTAGTTCAAGAGACTCTTCAGAAAAACTCTCTGTTGGCTTCTAAGAAGTAGTCCTGCAAAAGTTATATTCCCCAGACTGGAGAGGAATACTTGTTTCTGTTGGAATTTATAATAAAATATTGTTATCGCAATCTGACCACTGAAGAGCAGTTCAACTTCCACCTCAGTGAAAAATCTGCAATATTCTATTTGCCTTTGACTTTTCAGAAACAGGCAGAGACCCTCTAGAACAGTAGTGCCTTTTCCTTTATAGTTTAATTGTGGTCAAAATTCTTCATTTTATTGTATGTCTTAACTGAGACATTTAAAGAACCAAAAGCTGGGAGCAGAAAACTCAATTGTTTTCCAGGCCCAGTTTGACTTGCAATTTTTTACTTGTATTACATTGATAACTTTTAATTATACTGTGACTATAATTCAGTGAAGTTGTCTGGCTGCTACTGAATTCCATATCTGATGTGTCACTGAAGTCCTGTGTGTAGCTGAGAGGGAGTGAAACAAATGCTATTTGTCAAAAAAAAGAGGGACCCTGCCTTTAACATCCTAAACATTCTCAAATTGAAACTTTTCCCCATTTTTATTAAAAAATCAGTGACAAGAAATTCTGATGGAAGAATGGACAAAACACAGCTTGTTTTTTCTTGCCTGTGTGGGATAGAGAAACCTAATGTAAAGATACATAAAGTTCCTTCAATCAAAATGAACAACTGGGTCTCTACTTCAGTAAAAAGAGGGCATTTTTTTCAATCATTGCATTTCCAAGTTGCAGAGGGAGCTCAGGGAATAACCTGCTGCATCATTCTTGGGAGCCTGGTTCAGAGAAATCAACATTCTGTTCTGCACTGATAAGCAAATTTTTCACTTAAGAGTCTTTAGGCTGGTCAGGAGGCAGCTGCTCAAAAAATAATCCAACAAGTACTTGGGGAAGAAGAAAACACATTATCAAAGGGATGTTTATCTGTGCATATCTTGTTAAACTCTGTGTATTGAACTCAACAGACTCAGCCTGGGTCGTGTGTTTGTTGGAGCCCCTGTTAAAGCCACTGGACTCATCGTGTTGCAGAGTGGGCTTCACAAAGGCACAGTGTGGGGGGATGGTTGGGTTTTGGGTTTGTTTCTCATGAAAATGGAGTTAAGTAAAGGGGGAAAATGGCCCAACTACACACAACACCTTGGCATTCTGTGAAAGTGCAGGTTTGGGGTATTTAAAACAGAACTTGCTAATTATTTTCTGTTGGCTGAGAAAATGGGAATAGAATTGGCATTACATGTTACATTGTTATAATTACCTTCCCATTTCTTTTAGAGAAGGTCTGCAAACAGCCTAATTTACCTCTATAGCCATTTAACCACTCCCCTCCACACCCACATACCCCGAAAAAATTCTGGTGGTGGCTTAAGATTTTCTCTTTTAAAATTGTTTTATTAAGGAATAGAGTTGAAGCTTAAAATTTGCATTGTAATGTTTTGGTGTTCTGCTCTTGGTGCAGTGGATTAATAACTTAAAGGTTTATTTAAAGCTTTGAAGCATACTTTTAAAATAATAATTTTAGTAGCTACAATTTTTGTACTTCTTCACCAACGCAGAAAAAATATTTTTATTCATAGTATCTTTTATATTTTTACAGTCCTTTAATTTTCTCAGGTACCAGTTGGTGCTAAGGGATCAACTTTTATTCTTTTCCATGGTCTGATTAATAAAGGCTCCAATTCTCCAAGTAAAAAAAGAAAAGATATATTTTTAAAGTAATTTGTAATTAAGAGTGGCAATTAGCTGTGCTTTAAAAATCTGCCCAAGTATTTAGCATGAGAACCTTAATCAGGATTTCTAATTACTGCCACAGGACAAGTGATCAACTCTGCTCAAGTGCCAGTTGTCGATGAATTCACTGCAGGAGTACAGAGCGCTGTTTATTGGAGTTTTAATGTGCTTTATTAAGCAGAAATCTTGCTGCTTTGACAAATTTCCTCTCTCTTTGCCAGACCCCCAGTATTCCAGCAGCCTGTCATATTCCTTGGTGCAGATGTAACTCACCCACCAGCTGGAGATGGGAAAAAGCCTTCCATTGCTGCAGTGAGTGAATTGTCCTGATCTTTAACCCCAGCTCTCTCCTGCTGCTCAGCCCTAATGCAGCTTATTGCGTTTCAGTTCACTTGTGGTCCATTGCTTCTGATTGCCTAATGATAGTATTATAAATTATTTTTCTGCAGGAATCTAATGAAACCTCAGAGAGCTCGCTCTGCTGCTAATTACTTAAATGGGTGTATTAGCTTGTAAAATGCCTGAGCTGCTCTCACACAGAGGAGCTTTCCTGGGAGCTGATATTTATCAGCAGCCTGTAATGAGCTGGTGCATGTTTAAATCTGCTTCTTCAGCAGTAAGAAATGTTAAGAATTTCCTCACTGCTGACAGGGAACTAGGCTGGCTCACTTGGGGGTTTTGGGGGCTCAGGCTCCCTGACAACACAGAACGTGCAGTGATCTCTTGGAAATGTGCTCCTGAGTACAGGACACCGTCAAACACCTGTAATGCCTGCTCTGGATTATTTAATAATGAAGATCTTTGGTGATGATACGTGCAATATCATAGCCTGTAGTGCTAAATAAACAAATACCTGTTTTAGAAAGTTATGACACCTGTGTGTCCAGGGAAGACCAGGTGGAGATGGGCTTGGTTCTGGCTCCTAACATATGGAATTTGGGCTTTATTTTCTGTATATTTTTAAGGCCAGTGCCACTTTTATGACACATGAATGCTGGTGTTTCATACATAACATATAACATAAATCCATTCCCTTGCTGTGGATACTTCCCAAAAAGGGACTTGGTCTTCCAGAGTTCAAATTCCCGTGCTGCAATCTGAACTAAACCAGTGGTTTCACGATATCAGGGCTCCAAATTGTATTTGATTTTTTTTTAAGTTGTGTGTGGGTGCCAATGGGAAATTAGTGTTCTAGATTTAAAATGACTTTTCCCTTTCAGCGGGGTGTGTTGCCACAGGTGGGCAGAACTCCAAGCTCTTTCCAAGCCCATTTTAGTTTCAGCTACATCTTTGCCAGGTCAACCACTTAGTTTTTGCAAGGCACTGTTTAAAAGGCAGAGCAGTTTTCTTATGAAATACCTCCAACAAACTGCTTTTTGGTTTGAGACTGAGCATTTCTCCCCAGGTTGTGGGAAGCATGGACGCTCATCCCAACCGCTACTGTGCCACTGTTCGGGTCCAGCAGCACCGCCAGGAAATCATCCAGGATTTGGCTGCCATGGTCAGGGAGCTGCTCATCCAGTTCTACAAATCCACCAGATTCAAACCAACCCGCATCATCTTCTACAGGGACGGGGTTTCGGAGGGCCAGTTTCAACAGGTGATGTTTCTCTTTTTGAAATGTGGTTTTCTGGTAGTTAATGCAGTTTGAAACCTTCCCTCTGCAGGTTTGTTGGATTCTAAGCAAGCAGGGCAAGAGAAGGGTTTCCGTATTTTTCATGCGGTTTTTAAAATAATTCTCCCCTTTAAAACAGTTCCCTTTACAAAACTATAAAGTGTAGTTTTTGCACTCAAGTTGTGTTCCACGTCTGTGACAAGATGTATTACTCAGGCTGTGTCACGTGGAATGTGGGCAGTACAGAAAAATGAAGTGTAAACTAATTTTCCTGCTTTTTAAACCAGAATTAATAAATGCTGTATTTTCACGCTGTCACTTTTCATTCATTCCTGATAAAACTCATCAGATACTTTGTTGTATTTATTTTGCAAGGACTTATATTTTATGAAATATTTTTCTATATAATTTAAAGGTATTTACATACATTTTCTTTTCCAGTTTTCGTGTCTAAATTTAAAGATACAGAATTTAGTCACCTTCTCAAAATCCAAGGGGAAGGGAGTAAAGGTCACTTGGTAAACTTGAATGGATAAAATAATCTTTGTATGAATTTTTTTTTCTTTTCAATTACCACTTGTTTTCACTGAATTTTTAATGTATAATTAACCTAAATTGCAAATCACTGCTTTTTGGTTTATTCCACTTCCCTTATTAATGATGCCTGTGGTCCTGAACGAGACTTCACAAAGCTGGGAAAGAGCAGCTGAGCAGTTCTGGATTTTATCCCTTGTACTAGCCTGAAAAATAATTAGTCTGCTGTATATTCAGCAGCCTAATTAAATGTTCATTTGTGTTTGGCAGTTAAAAAGATTTTGACATGCAGCGTATTAGTCTGAGCCTAATGCTTGGAGCTGAACAAATATGGAAGCAGCTCTCGTCTGGCTCAGGAAACTGGTGACCTAATTTGTTCTCATTAAGGGAAAAAATTAAGGTTTGATCCTGAGTGCTTTGACATCTCGTTACTCTGAGTGACAGTGCAAGAAGGAACGTGATAAAGGATCTGTAGGTAAATAAATCTGTGGGACTGCAGTGGTTCACGTTTGTCACACCTCTCTGTGTTTGTGGTTCAGGTGCTGCACCACGAGCTGCTGGCCATCAGGGAGGCTTGCATTAAACTAGAGAAGGATTATCAGCCTGGAATCACATTTATAGTTGTGCAGAAAAGGCATCACACCAGACTCTTCTGCACGGATAAAAACGAACGGGTACGTTCTGCCTGCGACCAGCACGTGTCCAGCAGGCAGCCAAGTCACCTGTTGCTGATGATTTTTGGGACTTTCCATGTGAAGAGGAGACTCCACAAGCCTGGGAGGGAGTTACTGCTGGGAATGGAGAGTTCCTGTTGGGAAATCTCTGCTCACAGATACGGCTTTTCATGTTCCCTTCCCTTCTGTCAGGCTGCTCTGTGGGAGCACTTGAAGCCCACTAGGGTTTCAAGGCAATAATTATTAACTTCCAGTGCTGACATGAAGGTGGTTGTTATATTAATAAATGCTGTGATTACAGTTGTTAAACTGTTTGAAAGTAAAGAGTATTTTTTTAGTTCTGCTTTGAAGAGTGTTTGAGGGAAGAGGCGGCCTGTCTGACAACTGAGGATTGTCCCCTCTCAGTTATAAAGAGGAAAAGTTGCAGAGGAATAACCTGTCCTGGAGTGGGAAGGTGAAGACAATTTGACAAATCAGTTGCAGAAACTCCTTTTGACATTATTCAGAAAACCTGATCTTTTTGGATAATATCTAAGAAGGTTTTGCAGCTTGTCTATTTTTTCCCTCCATAGTAGAGACACTCCAGATTTTCACTTGAACAAAATTTCAGTTTTGCTCGTTCTTCCTTCACATCCTGGCTTTTAATGGATCTTTTTCTTTTGTTTTCCCCTTGCTGTAGAGCTGAAAAGGAAAAAAAACCAACCAACTTTGTGTGCCTTACTGTCTGCATTTTCTGTTCCCACAGGTTGGAAAGAGTGGAAACATTCCAGCTGGTACCACAGTGGACACAAAAATCACCCACCCATCAGAGTTTGACTTCTACCTGTGTAGTCATGCTGGGATTCAGGTAAGGCACTTAGTGTGGAATGGTAACTTTTCAGCTGTTAAAGCACCTTTAGGCATTATTTAAAACATTAGAACATCAAAAACATCAAAAGATCATCTGATGGCTTTTTCTCAGATGTAAGTTTTTCAAAATGAAAGTGCATTTCAATACGACCATTTAATTTCAGTAGCAGGGATGGAATTCTAGAAAACACAGTCCTATCGGAAAAGGGAAAGGGATTAGTGAGATGGGGAGCAAGGAACGAGGTTGTTTGCCTTGCCTTTTAAGGGAGAAATTTGCTGATTTATGTCAAACTGCTCCGTGTGATTTTTAAGGAAGCGGCCGTTCCACTGCGGTTCACCTGCAGAGCTGGAAGTTTACGGAGATGTTTTTGAAAAGCTGATGTCCCTGTGTGTCCTGTGCCCCCTCAGGGAACAAGCAGACCCTCCCATTACCATGTCCTGTGGGATGACAATCGTTTCTCCTCGGATGAGCTGCAGATCCTCACCTACCAGCTGTGTCATACGTACGTACGCTGCACCCGCTCCGTGTCCATCCCTGCACCAGCATATTACGCACACCTGGTGGCCTTCAGAGCCAGGTACCATCTGGTGGATAAAGAGCACGACAGGTGAGTGCAGAGTTTTGGAATTCTTAACAGAATCTGAAAGGAGGCAGGAAGGCAGTGGTCTTGCTAAGTCTGGAATAAGTGGGGTCCTCAGCAGCTTGAGGGCAAATTTTGCTGTTACCACTGAATTGCACTGCTGAAAAGAAGCAGATCTTCCTGCACGTGCTGTTTTCTGTTTCCCAACTTCAGTGGTGCTTCAAGGGTGATGAACTTTTGGCCATTCTGTTCAGAAGAAACAAACGGTACAAAAAACACCTGCGAGGAGAGGCAGAGATTAAACAGGGTTTCTCTTCCCCCTCACCCCCAACCTGTTGTGCTTTGTTCTCCCCCTCCCCCCCCCATTTCTCTTGCAGTGCTGAAGGAAGCCACACTTCTGGCCAGAGCAATGGCAGAGACCACCAAGCACTTGCCAAGGCAGTCCAGGTTCACCAGGACACGCTGCGCACGATGTACTTCGCCTGACGTGTTTTAATGCTCAGCGGCTCCGGATGAGGCACAGTTGGATTCACACGAGACCAGCTGCACTTAGACCAACCCCAGCTCCAGGGACAGCCAGCAATGAGTGACACATCTTAATTCCTTTCTTTTCCCCTTTCCCAAGGAAGCCTTCCGTCCAGAATTTCACACGTGATTACGAACTGCATTCTTGTACCAAACCCCGCTATTGTTGGAAATGTGGTTTGCCAAAAAAAAAAAAAAAAAAATCTCTAAGCTGCTTGGTATAAAACAGACCCATATTTTATAATTAAATCAAGAGCTGCAATCTCAGGGCTTAGGGAAGAAAGAAAAAGACACAAACAAATGAAACAAAAAAAAAAACCAACAACCCGACCCACAAAACTCCTCATTCAGTTTGCTATTCATTGAGTTGCTTTTAATAATTTGGAAAGATCTAATTCATACTAAGGTTTGATGAGCTAAAATGCTGTGAATTAGCTTTTAATGCAAAGCAAAGCATTTTTTTACTATTTATGAAGCCTTGATTATTCTAGATGAATTTACAAAATTTTTATTTTCAAAATAAGAGAGTGACAAAATTCTGGTTTTCAACTGTCTTATAAAGATTATTCTCAGATTATTCTCTGTGTGTCTAAGGGCAAATGTATTTTCTGAAGCTTGTTCTTGAATGTTTTTTATTGTGCTGCATTTGAAAATGTTTTTCATAGGCTAAAGATGAATTTAAAAAAAAAAAAAAAGAATAAACTTGTACCTAAGCTTTTAATAGCTCCAGTTAGATTGGCAAAAGAAAATGTGCCATTTAAAAAACTTGTAAAGATTTTTTTTTTAAGATCATACTGACAGCTAACTCTAGGATTTGTCATACAGGACTGTGACACTTACTTTCCAAAGTCTCTAAAGAATACGGGTCTGTGGTGATAAATACAGTACAATCCTTTTTCACTGTAGTTTGAGTTTAATGTAAATTTTATATATGTTTCACAGTATTAATGTGATAGACTAGATGCTATTATTTATTTTTATTTACTAAGGAGTGCTCATTATACTTCTGTTAACATATCAAGAACGCTTTGAACTTTAGAAAAGTGAAAAACCTTCTCGTGGGGACATTTTACTCTTCAAATGCAAAAAAAAAAAATATGCAATCGAGGTGGTGAGAGGTCAGAGATGGAAAACAGTGTCTGTTGTAGCTTGGGATTTGCAGAAGGGCTTTTCAAACGTGCACACGACACAGCAGGTTTTACCTCTGCGGTTCAGAGACGCACACGAGACCAACACCCTCCGTTCGTTCAAGCACAAGACAATGGTATTTTATTTATAGGCTGAATTTTGGTGCAGCAGGAGCTCCAGCAGGGGAGAGTGGCTCGCTGCAGGTTAGGCAGAAGCCCGAGAATCTATGCAGTAAAGATGAATCTTAGGAAAACTGAAGTTTACTTAGGGAGGGAGGTGAAACTCTCTTCGATATGCGTGAGGGCTGTAGGAAAGGGGAGAGTTTTGCTGTTCTTTGAGAAGCATTAATTACAGCTGATGAGCTCTAGACAGACACTTCTGTTAGTTTGCACACTGGATCCAGAAAAACCATGACACACCTGTATAAACCATTGCACTAATTACAATGCCACAAGCCAGGTTTAGGAGAGAATGGAAAAAGCCCAGAAAACTTGTTTATGCTCACTTGATCTTGCTTGTTTTTCCATAGGAGAACTGAAATAACGTGCTAAAGAGGCAGGTTTGAAAACTTTCGTTCTCTTCCACTGATTGATTTTGCTTTTTTTTCCCTTTTCTCTGAGCAGCTGCTCAGTCTGGTTTGGATACTTTTACCTCTGGCCACTGGGGCGGGTGAGTAGCTTTAACCCACACAGTGCTCTGGGCCCTGGAGCAGATCCACTGCAACCAGTGGCTGTTGGATAAGCCAGAAAATGCCCAACCTTTTGCTGCATAAAGACTTTTAGGTACATAATTTTGTGCAAGTTCTGATCTTCACCTTGTAGCAGTCGTGTTGGTTGTTGGTGTTATTTTTTTTTTTAAGTGAAATGTAAAAAACTATTAATGGAATCATTGTGTTTGTATTATCCTAATTTGGAGATTAGGCTGCTGGGGCAGAGTTGTCTTCTTGGTCGTAGTTATATAAATTCAGATTTAAGCAAATCTTAAGCCAAGCTTAGGGTAGCACTGTCTGTCTTGCTGTGTCCCAGCCAGGTTGTACCTACCTCCCCCCAGGCACCCCTAAACTGCAGAACCTTCCCATGGTGGGTGTTGTTGCACTTCCCTGTGTTTCCCTTGAGAGGTTTCCTATTTCAGTGAAGATTTTAATTTGGCAGAGTTTTATATAAGAATTATTTTTTTATATGAATTGTTCGTAACAAATAGAAAAAAAAAGACCATCCATTTTAAGACACCATTTAGTTTATCTTGCTGTCTGTTACGCAGAGACCTCTTGGATGTGAAATTCATCCCCCTCTTTCCATGCAGATCTGGGATAAATGACTTGTACAGGCGGTCAGATGGGGCGAGGAGGGCAGGATCTGTCTTGACCTCAAATCTCATTTCTGAAGCAGACTGTGGGTCTTCACTGCATCCTGTTCAGGATGTTTTCTTTGTGAGAAAAGGTGTTTTAGGCAGGCCCTTCATCTGAGAGTAACTGTTGTCCGTGCATCTTCTTGGAATTAGCAGAAGTTTTGTGTAGCTTTCCTTCCCTAAGTATGAAGAACTTGGGATGGTTATGTGCATTTCAGGACATTTTTACCTTTTACAGCTCTTTCTAAGCCTCTAATACTGCTAATTCTTTATGCCTTGATGTCTCCCGCCTTTCCCCTCCCACCAGTGATGAATTTCTGAGTAATTTAAAGCATTTTTCTAAAAAAACACTGATTAAGTATATACTTTGAGCAGTACAGCATGCTGGCAGTCCAGCAGCTCTCTTTCTGGGATTATTCTTAATATAAATTACGTATTCAAGAATGTCTCCTGTGAGGAAAAAAAACCCACCTCAAACACCTAAAATCCTGCTATTGTTTTATTTTTTTCCTTACTTCCCACGTGTCTGGTGTAGAACAGCAACATCTCAGGTCAACACAGAGCTCAGCAAGTCTCAGTCTCTCCCAGGTTGGTGCTGTAGCAGTCCCAGCTGAGGTCACAGCTGTAACCACTGTGCAGCTCAGGGCAGCAATAACCAAACGTGTCACCCCCCCCGGGGCACTTGGGGTATTTTCCATTTGTGCGACTCCCACTGCACAACCCCCCAAAAACCAGCGTCAGCAAGGGCAAAACGCTGCCCTTGGGAGGTAAAAAGTTCTATCAGCAGATGTAAAATACTTAAAAGTTTTCACTCTCTTTTTTTTTCCCCCCTGATGTGCAAAATCTAATGCAATAACGAGGTTTGATCGGTGGTGGAAATTTCTGCTCCAGTGGCTCAGTAGAATAACGTATCCAATGCCATCTGTTCCAGCACCCAGGAAACAGCTGAGTTAATCCTTAGGAGAAAATGTCCTGCTGGGAAATGCTGGAAGTAGGTGGATTTGTCTCTGCCTTTATGTGAGTTTGCATTTAAGACAGCCCTATGCAATTTAACACTGTGTGTGTGTGTGTGTGTGTGTGTGTGTGTGTGTGTGTGCACTGACGTACGGAGTGAGGTCACTCGTTTGATCAGAGCTCCTCATTTTGGCTTGGCTTGGTTTTGAATATTTGACTTTGTGAATTACAATCAATGATCTTCCGTGTCCCAGTAGCTTTGGCACATTAATCCCCTTGTTTCTAGATCTGTCAGGTCTGGCTGAGTTTGCTGTTAGGGAAGGCTCTTCTGTCTTAATCTACTGGGGCCGACATGGAAAATTTACAGGAAACCTATGTTTAAAACAAGAAATCATAGAATCATAGAATCATAGAACAGATTGGGTTGGAAAAGACCTCCAAGATCATCAAGTCCAACCCCTGATCCAACTCTAATTACTATATCATGGCACTAAGGGCCATGTCCAATCTCTTTTTAAAAACTTCCAGGGATGGTGAATCCACCACCTCTCTGGGCAGGCCGTTCCAATGCCTGATCACCCTCTCTGTAAAGAATTTCTTCCTAACATCTAACCTAAACTTCCCCTGGCAGAGCTTGAGCCCATGTCCCCTTGTCCTGTTGTTGGTTGCCTGGGAGAAGAGACCAACCCCCACCTGGCTATAACTTCCCTTCAGGTAGTTGAAGAGAGTGATGAGGTCACCTCTAAGCCTTCTCTTCTCTAGACTAAACAACCCCAGCTCCCTCAGCCTCTCCTCATAGGACTTGTGCTCAAGTCCCTTCACCAGCCTGGTTGCTCTTCTCTGGACCCGCTCCAGCACCTCAATATCCTTCCTGAACTGAGGGGCCCAGAGCTGAACACAATACTCAAGGTGCGGCCTCACCAACGCAGAGTACAGGGGAAGGATCACTTCCCTGCTCCTGCTGGCCACACTGTTCCTGATGCAGGCCAGGATGCCATTGGCTTTCTTGGCCACCTGGGCACACTGCTGGCTCATGTTCAGCTTCCTGTCAATCTGAAATCTGTAACAAATACCTTTGATCTCCATCCAGGCCCCCAGGCAGCGTTCCCTGATTGTAAAAGCAAAAAGAAGTTGTGAAGGTTTAGCTTTAATTCTGCCTCCGTCAATAAGTCCTGCAGCCTTTGTCCGTTTGAACAGAATCTTGTTGGAACATTTTCATAACATGAGACAGCTCCACAAGGGTTTTAAAATCTAAACTCTAGGTGTGAAGAGTTTGGAGTTTTGTGTGCCCAAGTTATTTTCTGAAAAGACTGAAGTTTCTAAGGTGCTTCCAAGGTTTTTTTTGTACACGTGCCCCAAGGCTTTTGATGGAGTTGAAGGTTTTGGTCTGAGGGTTCTGTGCTTGCTGCAGCAGCTGATCCCTCAAACACAGGCTGTGTCTCCCCTGTAGGAACCCCCATTTTCCTCATGCCCCTGAATCCAAAATTTAACTGAGAGCAAGGCCAGGAGTAAGGGCTGTGTTGACACCCCCCAGCCAAATTCAGTGGATTGTTGTAGGGATTTTGGTGGACTTGCAGATTGTTTCTTTTTGAGGAAAATGTTGATCATTGGGAGTGAGGACAGATTGGTTCTGCAGGTTCTGCTTATTCAGGACTGCATGAGCTGGGAATGCAGGGCTGGGACCTTTGGAGATCAGAGGGATGTACTCGCTGTGGACTCAGTCAAATAAGCATCTCTGGTGGCATAAATAACCATAAGGGACTTCCTTTTTTTTTTTTTTTTTAGGACATCTTTTAGACATTAAATAAATGAATGTAAGAAGAGTTCTCAGTATTTTTCACACTCGAGACCAGTGTAATTAAAATCACTTGTTTTCCTGTTTTTTTAACCTTCTCCTGCCATAGCATCTCTCTCTGTGTGTGAGTCCTGCCAGTGTGGCTTTCCCCATTCCTAATGTAGGGCAGTCCTTTGTTTTTTACTTTTATATCCATTTGGTAACATGCTCCTTCATGCACACATGCCATCTTTTCTAAGGAAAACTTCAAGTTTAAGGTAATTGCACTGATTTTTTTTTTAAACTCCCTTTTTACTGTAAGACTTCTTTGGTTTTTTGTTTGTTTTTTTTTTTTTTCATCTGCTGTAGCTGTTTGAAAATACTGTAAATAGTGCTCTTACAGCAAATACTGAAGTGCTGGGGATGCCATTCCTGGTTCTGTTTTCTAGAATACTGCCATATTTTACAGTGTTGAGATATGAGCTTTGGGGTTTAAATGTTGTTACGCTTTGTTTGCATCATGGTATCGATTCAAGAAGGGCACAGTTGCTTTATTACAGTGGAAGTATTTAGAGTTTGCCTGAATTTATGAAACATTTCTTCCTTCTCTCCGCTGTGCACGTTTCTCCCACACCCCAGAGATTTTAAGCTCTCAGTGTGCTCGTTCAACATTGCAATGCCAGTTTTGGTGTCGGTGAGATGACTGAAAGCATTAATGCAATATCTGGATTATCAGCTGTAGCTGTCACAGGTTTCCCTTGCTTATTCCAGCACCTGATCCCTGTGTCGTAGAAGCAGGACCATCGTATGTGGCAGAATTAGTGGAATAATAGGGATTTGGGATCCAGGTTAGGGTGTCTTGCTGTCTGATTGGGGAGTGCAGTGGCTGTTTTAGTGCTCTGAGATAAGGAATAGAGTTGGCTCTGGTTGATCTCCCATCCCTCAGCAATTGCCTTTTGCTTCCATGTCCCTCAGGAATGGAGAGACCCCAACTCCAGCCCCGCTGTCCAGAGTTAGGATGCAAACCAGCCTGGTTTTGAGGGTTAATGACTGGAAGGATGCATTCCTGAGGTGGTTTGATCCGAGGGATACGGGGAGGGGGTGCTGTCTGCGTGCCTGGTGTGGCACAGAATCTGTTTGATCCCATTTAGTGTTCCTGTTGCTCTGTCAGAGATGTTTCTTTGCCTGAAGAGTTGAAATGAATGTAATTGCTTGGCCAAATCACTACAGAATGGGTTTGTGACACTCTTTAGATACGAAGCAGGTGCAGTCCAAGCCTACCTCCTGTGTTCCTTCCCAGGTGAATTAATTTAAGTGAATTTACCACTAAGAAGCCAAGACCCCTGTTTGGGCCAGTCACTCAGGAGTTGGACTCTGATCCTTGTGGGTTCCTTCCAACTCAGCTCCCTCCATAACCTTTCCCTTCACTTGAGTTTCTGTACTGTTTTTCCAAATGAAAAATGTTTCTGTACTTCAGCTCTTGGCCAGAAAATGTCAGGTTTTCACTGAAAGTGACATGAAGGTGCTTGAAATATATTTTGAATCTGAGGCAAAAAATGATGTATTGGATTATTTTTTTTAATGTATTTTTTAGATAAGTTGACATGAGACTGTAAGAGTGAGAATACTTTATTCTCTTCTCAGAAAATTATACACTTTAAAATGGGCAGCACCCCCATCCCAAAACACCAAAAAACAACCCCAAGCCTGGGTATGTTCATCTTGTGGCTATTTCATGTCAGTTCTGTGCAAGGTCTTGGCTGAAACTCAGCCTTGGCAGAAGTGCATATGGACTGAGGGTGCTTTAAGAGACCTGAAATGAAAACTGTAGAAAACTGTGCTAATACATCAGACTTCGTTTACAGTGAATCCAAACAAGCTTCCTCCTCTCAGAATGAACCACTCTGCTGACAGAAGTGCTGCCTGCTGGAGGACAGTGTGCTGCTGTGGTTTCATTCACAGCAGGGTTAGAGTTTAGTTGTATTCAAAAGTAACTGGGCTTTGTGCTGTGGATTTTGGCCTCTCAGGAGTGAGTGTGGTGGGATTCTGGGTTCCCTACACTTTCCTCCTGATCTCTGGGTGTAGACACTAATGAAGCTCATCCGTGGATGAGCTGGAGGATTGCTGAGGTTCTGACTTTCTGGGGGCCAGTTATTGTGAGTGACTGAATAAATCACTATAAATCAGCTGATTAATAACAGAATGGGGGAAAATACCGAAAATCTGGTTCAGTTCTTAGTCCTCATTTAACAAAGCTCCTCCAAAAGTGTGAAGTACAAGGTAAATGGCTGCTTTTGAGAGGGCATTTCACTGCATCCTGTGCTGCAGATCCATGGACACCGTTGCTGGTGTGGCCTGGCAGGGGTTTCGCTGTGCAGGGATGCTGGAATGGCCTCTCCCTTGTTGAGGGGAGGGGGGCTGTGTCCTTCCCAGATCCCATCTGCAAACCTGGGATCATCAGGACATGCAGGCAAGGGAAGAGCCCTGTGCTGGGTGCTCATCATGCTGTAGGGGGGAGCAATGCCAGGCACCCCCTCCCTTGGGGAGATGAGACGAGGAGCGAGGGGAAGCATTTTCTTGCAAAATTGCAAATGAAGCACTTGTTAAGGTGACAGTTTAATTCTTGGTTTCCCTTCTGGCTTCCCTGCCAGTCCCCTCACAGATCCACCTTCCCCACACCCAGCCATTGGCCCCTCTCCCCAGGAGGAGCGTTGGGAGGGAGCTCCTCGAGGTGATTTGTGGTGTCCGAGAGCTCTGGGCTTGGCTGGAGCCCAGGACAGGGGCGTTGCTGGATTTGGAGGGGAGAGAGGCTGACAAGAGTTGGGATTTTTGCACATGGCAGTGCTACAACCCCCCAGCACCAGGGGAAGGGTGGCTGCTCCTCCCTCCCGCCTAAACATCCCCCGAGGGGCAAAATTGCTTTGGATTTGTCCATGTGCCGCCTCTGAAGATGCAGCTTCAAACTCCCTGCTCTTCCACCAAAGCTCCCTGTGGGATTTTGGAGAGCCCAGGACTGTGTGGCAGGTCTGTCTCAAAGGGTATGTTCTTTTCTCTGAGGTTCCTGAGAGTGCACAGGTTGTGGTTGTGTTTTCCCCCCCTGTTTTGGATGTGCTGTTTGTACCGGGTGCTTTGGTTTTGTTGTTTCTTTCTTCCCCTTCTTAAAGCACAACTAAACCACCTGCTGGAATAACTGCTGCCTGCTCATCAGCAGGGATTGCAGATCCTGTCTGAGAATTGTCCAGAAACTCTAAATTGAAGCTTTTCTGGTCATTTTATGGGG